TCACTGAGGAGATTGGTTACGTCGCCGTCAACCGCAGCCGGACCGAAAGTCCGAAGACCCGTTTTTGCGCGGTTTCGGCAGAAGAAGCGATCCCAGATAACCACCGCAATTACACAGATCACTTGCAGGACCACAGCAACTATTGGCCAGAGAACTGAGTTGAAGACTGTGTGGACAGAGAAAAACAAATGCACTGACTATTTATTTTTCAGGATAGGGTCTGCAATTGGACTGCTGTCGCATAGTTCTGATGTAACGTAAACGTTTAGAGCATTAGATGTTACTTGTATTTTAACTGGTAGTTAGTTATCTGAGATAAAAAGAAAAGATAATAACATGTTCTCGTTGGTTCAAAAAAAACTCAAATGAAATCAAGACCTTTTAATTCAGATAATCAGACATAAAAGTCAAAAATGCCGAAATTAAGTTTGCATTCTCTCATACTTTAATCTACTGTCAATACACGAAAACAACGCATCACCCAGTTTGGGCTCATGGCAAAACGAATGATCTCTTAAACAAACCGCAGCAAGTCCCATAACCGAAGTTAATTCTAGGGGAGATCCAATCTCGATCCAATGTGTAAAACGAGGGGCAGCTGATTAGGAAATGCCCCCGTAACATTTTCTTCCGTCTAGTTTGTTGTCCAAGTCTCAGATAGGATTTCGGAAAGGAGGAACTCATGATGATAGGCACGATCGAAGCGTTGCGGTCGGTGATATTTTCCAAAAAACGATTAACCACAATCAGGCATGCGAATGGCCAAACAAATAGAGGGTGTCTTTGGTGAAGAAAGATAGATTAAAATAGCGGGAAAGTTATTCTTACACCGATTTCGGCCTTTCATACAAGCTTCTAATTGAATTCTAGGATCCAAATTTAGGACTGCGTAGGCTGAAATTATTACCTCAACCCATGTAAAAAATTGGTTTGGTTAAATATAGTAATAGAACTAGTTGCAAATAGGCATGGGTCAGGCGATTAACTCAAGTCAACCTGTTTCAATTCTGAGCAGCTTCAACACACAATTTTTTCAAAAGGTGAAGAAACTTTCACTGGGAGAGGTATATTGTGGAGAACCCTGTGCATAGTTCTTGTTATATGACACCCTTTGCGTGATGCGTAGGTCGCCAATGTAGGCCTTTGGGGGTAAAGCTGACCCCGTTTTATCACAATCATTGCCCCGGTTTCGTTTACCATGGCCGCAATTGGTTCGCAACTTTACTGTCTCCTGTCAAGTAGATCCATATTAAAAGACGGGAGGGGCTAGTTTATACGGTGGATAATTGCCTCAGGTCTATCAGTATCCAGCTGGAGGCAGCCATCAAACGCGAAGTAATGAGGCTAAAGGATCTAATGGCGTAGCAGGAAACGTCTAAAGTCTTTGACCGTATATGGGGCAATTTCGGACAACAAATATAAAAAATTAACACTGGAAGATTGCTTTTGACACGGATGAGCGAACATGCAGCTCGCAAATGGTGGCCCCACGTTCAGGGTAGACGAGATCGACATGCCTAGAGAAGATGCCAGTTGTACGAGGTGTTTGACCCAGGCTTATCCGAATCGAAGTCCACGAATCCGTGAACTGACCTCTTCTCTGCAGATAAGGTGCCAAGGCTTCACCGAGGTCCAGTTGTTTGAGTATGCGAGCGAAGACTATTTTAACGAAGTAAGGTGTATTTTCACATTCCAGGTGTGCGTATAAAGAAATAAAGAGCCCCGTCGCTCGCCGGAATAATGGTTTTATTCGTCTAAGCCTTCGAACTCTTACTGGAGTCTACCGTCCGAGATAAAAGAATGAGCAACGAGCAATCTTCTTCTCCACTATTTCAACGTCAAAATTGTTTATCCAAATGACCGATTAATTATCGCGTTAATACGCAACACACGTGATGAAATTGCGGCAATCTTGGAATTAGATTCGATCAATTAAATGATCACCGCAACAGGGACAACGATCTGAGATTAGTACGAAAACTAC